GTCCCCACAGGGAGGGGCCAGCGCTTCCTTCAGCCAGTGGGGAGAGCAGCTGGTGACCACACAGGCCTCCGCCCTTCCCCAGCTGTCCCCCCAGCCAGGCGGAGGAGGAGCCCTCTCAGCTGAAACTCATTGGTGCACAGAGCGCCCCGGCCAGGTCTGAGCCAGGCCTTTACCCTGACCCTCACATCCTGAGTCCGTCAAGCCTGGCCCCTGGGGAAAGGAGAGGGCCTGGGGAGGGCAGAGTGGGGGTGTCAAGCAGGACGGGGGGCGTGGGAGTGGACACCCTGAGGAGACACGGCAGAGGGGCATGCCACATCCTGCCACATTCAAAGGTTGGCTGGGGGACAGAGCAGAGATGGACAAGAGGCCTGGGCTCGTGGCATGGGAGTCAGTGGCCAGGCAGGCACAGGGCCCACAAGCCCCCATGGCTCTCGGGGACAGTGTTCCCATCCCAAGAGCAGGGGCAGGGCTGAGCCCAGCCTCCATGAACAGCCACAGAAGCTGAGACTGGCCGATCTCAAGAGTCGCCCAGACCTAGGCTGTGTACCCGTCTCCACAGCCCGACCGGTCCCGGGCCAGCCCATGGGGGCGCTGGGGCAGGCGCGGCCGGGACGAAGGAGGCCTACCTTGTTTCGGGTCTGTGTCTGCCCAATGAGGATGAGCGCGTTGGACGAGATGATGGAGAGGCAGAAGTTGATGAGGATGACAGAGCGCTCTGAGCGGATGTACCTGACAGAGGGGGTGGCCAAGAGTCAGAGCCCACGGACCTCTTCAGAAGAAAGAACTGGGGTCTGTGGCCACCACCATCGCCACATCTAATACTCCTATTACCACCATCTCTAATACCACATTACCACCATCGCCACCTCTAATACCCCTATTCCACCATCTAATACCCCTATTACTAACACCTCTAATACCTGTGTCACCACCATCGTCACCTCTAATACACCTATCACCACCATTGCCACATCTAATACCCCTATCATCACTACCTCGAATACCTCTATCACCATCACCACCACCTCGAATACCCCTGTCACCACCATCTCTAATACCCCTATCACCACCATCGCCACCTCTAATACCCCTATTTCACCATCTAATACCCCTATTACTACAACCTCTAATACCCCTGTCACCA